AAGGGAGATATAGGGAGTGATTGCTTAATGGGTACGGGTTTCCTTTTGCAGTGATGAAAATGTTCTGAACTGGATAATGGTGATGGTCGCATATCATTGCGAATGTTCTAAAAGCCACTGAATGATACCTTCCCAAATGGTTAAAATGGTAAATTTTATGTTACATGTATTTTATCACAGTAAAAAATATATTGCTATAGTGATTGTCTATTTTATGTTGATGCTATATTATGGTTTCTGATCTCGCAAGTTAGTAACTCTTTGTGAAAATTTTATCTTCTGTGTTATGTTTTATTTAGGTAAAATGATCCATTCTATGGTAGCTCATTTGGATGCTGTTACAAGTCTAGCAGTAGATCCTAATGGAATCTACCTGATGTCTGGAAGTAAGTCTGAACTTCCTGTACTGCCACAAGCTTTATAAAAGAATTGTTACTCAATAATGTACGTTATTTATTCTTTTATTACAGGCCATGACTGTTCTATTAGATTGTGGAATTTGGACAGCAAGACATGTGTGCAAGAAATAACAGCACATAGGAAGAAATTAGATGAATCAATTTATGATGTTGCTTTCCATCCATCAAAAGCATATATTGCCAGTGCAGGGGCTGATGCCCTTGCCAAAGTATTTGTGTGAATCAACAAAAACTCACATCTTAACAACAAATTTGCTTGGACAAAAAGAGGGTCTGCATCACTGCCATCTGAAAGGTTACTGATATGACACTACATGTGATCTGCTTGCTGAAAACTATTGGAGGCAGGCATAAATTGATGGAAATCACATCTTAATGTCAGGCTCATTAATTTAACTGTAATTACTGTATCTTGTGGGACAAATAAAAAGGACTCCATTATTTGTGGCCTGTACTGGATATGAACTGAGCGTATGTCTGTTTTTTAGGTATCTTTAAGCCAATGTGGAGTCTGATCTTACAAAAGACTTTTATTTTGGACTCTGTGTGCTGCCTTAGGGTTAGGAATGTGGTGCTCTTGTTGGGGGGGAAGTGAGCTCCAAGAGTAGCTTTTTTTCATCTCTTAGTGATTTTTCTGTTTATCAGTTGAATGCCACAGATTCCCTTTTAAACTTATTTTGCTTTAAAAAAAAAAAAAAGAAAGAAAATTTAACTTAAAATATTTTAGCATTAGTTGCACAAAATGTTTGGATAAAATTCTAGTTTTTATAAGTCTTTTTATATATTTAGCCTGTCACAACAGTGCTCAAGATTGTATTGAAGTTTTTCTGCATTATACAACCCTAAAACACAGAGATCTCACTGACCCGCTGCCGTGTAACCACACTTTTTCCTTCTTTTGCCTAATACAGCTCAGCTAAGTCCTTCCATAAAGATGCTAAATCACCTTCATCATCACATAATTGTCTTCATATACCAAGGACTATTAAGTGTATTAAAATGAAACAGTGGGGTTTAATACTCCAAATGAACTCTTTAAAAAGAAAAAAAAAAAAACTAATCTTGGCATCCTATCACTATGTGATATTTTGTACATCTTACTGTATTTACAAGTTTATTTATCAAGGATTATCCATCTTGCTAATAGCCTATTATTTATTTCACTTTTTGTTGATCTTTATATCCTTTTATTAATGTGCTAAAGGAACCTGTATATCTATTTTGGAACTCTCTGAATAGTCTAAAATAGACTAAAAATTGAATATTTTATAGTTTAAGTTACAAACCAAGGTGATTTCCCCCATATGCATATCTTGGTTTACCATGATTCCAAACAAAAACTATCTTGTTTAAAAATATTTGGAGTAAAATTTTATTTGCATTACAAATAGGATACAAAAATAGTTGAATCAGGATACAGAAATCTGCTGTGTTTGGATTAGTTATCCCTGTTTTATTTTTTCAGATGTGCTTAATTTTATGGTGTAACTAAAGATTTTGTTTGTGTAATGCATGATTAAGACAATAAAGTATTTTTTCTAGTCTTCCAAAAACTTTTCTGATCAGTTTGCGAGTTTTGATGAGTTTTGTAAGGTTTTTGTTTTACAAACTATGAATCAGCAAATTTTTAAGATTGTACGACATAGCAAACGTACAGCTGTTGAAAAATAATGTATATAAAATGCATATAATAAATATTAAATTGTGTACCTGTATGTTACTGTTGGCTACATTATTTTGTGTTGATTTAATAAAGTGCAATACTTTACTCTCCATCATTAAACTAGGAAATGGAGATGATTTCTCAGTGAGTCCTTCATTTTTATGCTGTTCTATTAAACTTTGTATTGCTTATTAAGACTCTAATTAAAGATTAGGACAGTTAACACTATTAAGAATGACTTTCTACGTATTTCACCCCATTTGGGAATCTTAAAAAGTCTTCTATTAGGGGCGTCTGGGTGGCTCAGTGGGTTAGGCCTCTCCCTTCGGCTCAGGTCATGATCCCAGGGTCCTGGGATTGAGCCCCTCATCGGGCTCTCAGCTCAGCAAGGGGCCTGCTTCCTCCTCGCTCTCTGCCTGCCTCTCTGCCTACTTGTGATCTCTGTCAAATAAATAAAATCTTTAAAAAAAAAAAAAGTCTTCTATTAAAGTAAGTTAGATAATTCACAATAACCAAAAAAAAAAGAAAAAGTAGAGATCCAGTATTAAATCTTTTCCTTAAGTGTTTTTTGTTTTGTTTTGTTTTGTTTTGTTTTTTTGACAGAGAAAGAGAGCGAGAGGGAGTACAAGCAGGGGAAGGGGGAGAGGGAGAAACAGTCTTCCCATGGAGCAAGGAGCCAGATGTAGGGCTTGATCCCATGACCTGAGCGGAAGGCAGATGCTTAATGACTTAGCCACCCAGGTGCCCCTTAAATGTTCTGTTTATTAAATCTGGATTTCAGTTAATAGTGTTGTCATTCCTATCTAGCCATAACTATTTCCACAAAAAAGCAAAGCAGAGAATAAACTGCATTACTCAATTAAAAGTTGTTCTTATAAATAATAAGTATCTTGAAGCTTTTTCTTTCAACAAGGTAATATCCTTTTTTGAAGAAAATTGGAAATGGAATTAGAGGGTAACAAAACTTAAGTGGCCAAATTCTGTCTGAATTATTAGTGCAAAAAAAAATTACATTGTGTGTACAGTGAGAAATTGTGTTTTCTACATAAAAATACAAGTGTCAATTTTAGTCATTGCTGGTGAAATACTAAAATTTTTCAGAAATTTTCTTGAAGTGATAGAATTTTTTGTTTTCTGAAGATTCAACTTAATGAATAAAGTAAAAGGCATATTTTCTCCTTTTTTATTTTTCTCCTTAGTTTTTGAAAATAACAGTTTTTCCAAAGGTAGTATGGTTTCCGGCACCTATTCCAAACTGATGTGTTACTGTTTAACTTGATTGTCATCATCGCAGAGCATAAGCATTCACCTCTTGGGATGTGTTAAAACTGAAATGAATAAAAATTAGTATAGATGTTTATTTTTCTCTTCTCTACTTTGGTTGTATTCTTCTCTCCAGTGTTAAATGTTTGGAAGAGACTAAAGGATGCAAAAAGAGAAAGTCTTATTTTGTGTGCTCCCTTTTGTGACTTATATAGGAAGTTATGTAGACTGATTTGACTATGAAATGGTGCTTTTTAAAGAATATTTTTGTATACAAATGTTAATCTGTTGACTTTCTCAGTATTTAATCATAATCTGCCCTTTTCATACTTTATTTTTGTGTAATTTTCTCACATTTCAAAGTTATCCACTAACGAGTAGTACCTCATTTAACACCTTAAATGTTATAAAAAGCCTAGCGTATTTGAAATTTAGGCATGCCTGCTAAAGTTGGATTGTAATACATCTTTTTAAAAATCCTTTTACTCCCTTTTACTTAACGCTTTTTTTTTTTAAAAAAAAGATTTTATTTATTTGACAGAGATCACAAGTAGGCAGAGAGAGAAGGGGAAGCAGGCTCCCTGCTGAGCAGAGAGCCCGATGTGGGGCTCGATCCCAGTACCCTGGGATCATGACCTGAGCTGAAGGCAGGCTTTAACCCACTGAACCACCCAGGCACCCTTAGTTAATGCTTTATCTTGTTTACTGACACGAAGTAATTGATAGTAACTTGATAGAGTGGTCATTTCTGCTCTTAGTGTTAAATCATCAGAGTGTTAGTTTCCCTGGTTATATCAGATGCCTCAGAACTTTGTCCTTTATAAAATTACCTTCTCTAAAAATGCTTGTAATGTTTGGAAGCTGGATTTTCATTTAATTTTTCAAGGAGTGGTACTCTCAGCTAAGTATTTGTTTTCTGTTTATGGAGGGAAAAGGTTAAACCCATTTTTGCTTAATTAAATAAAAATTCTTGTTAAATGAGTCAATCATCTTTGAGGCATTTTGTTAAGGGGCAGGCGCAGTTTGTCTTCCCATACCCCATTTTGCCAAATTTTTAAGTAGTGTTAAAGGCAATTTCATTTCTGCCTTTCTGAATACATGGTCCTTTCATCCCTTTTATATAACCTGTGAAATTGTTAGACTCCAAAGATTCAGAATTAATACATGTACTCCAGTAAATCAGTTAACACCTTTTTCAGGTCAACATGTTAATTGTTTCAGATAGGATCAGTGTATGTGTGAAGGGAAATAGTGTGCATAGGTTGGATAGGGGAGATGGCAGGTCCTCTCTGTAGAAAAGATAAGGCAGACTGGATGACACCTCTGTCTGAAGGGAGAACTCTTGGTGAGGTAATGATAGTTATATTAAGGTAATTCTGATCACTTTTCAAAAGCCAACTTTATAAGCATATGTAATTAAAAATAATGTTAATTACAAAACACACTTGTTGAACTAAGTAATCAAAAACATCTCATGCTGTTTAACTTGGTAGTGGCTGTGTATAATGCCTAGAATAGGAGACATTCAATAAATAAAAAAATGTAACAGTTTTAAGAAAAAATTCAGAATTGGTCTTTCTGCATAAAATAGTGAATGTAGGATTTTTTACCATGTCCCAGGGATAGGTACTTGGAATAATAAAAGCAGCTTGGAATAATAGTCACTAACAGTTTTATTGCTTAAATAGTCAAACTACAATAGTTTTTCCTGCAGTCCTTTTTTTAATATGTGCTTTCCCTCAATGCCAAATGTTTACAAGTATAAATAGTAAATAAAAATTTACCAACTTAGCTTTTTTTTAAGTACATGGATGACTTTCAGAGTATAAGCCAAATATATCAATACACATATAAAATTAAGGATATAAATAGAAAAATACCAGGCAATCCTCCTATCTTGTTCAGTGTGATATTTCCATTATGTTATTAGGAAAATACACTACATAAGAAACTTCAGACCTAATTCCCTTCCATTTCATTCATAATTACAACTTTTTAGAATGTAAGTAACAAATACAGTTGATTAGTTTTAAGACAACATCTATCGGGGCAAAATAACATTTGAACTTGAGTTAACTCTAAGTTTCGTTTTCCTTATATATTTAATGCAAAATGATTAGAGAAGGAATGTTGCTTTTGTTCTGAGTATCACTCTTTTATTGAGCTATGGAATTTGCATTTCTATATATTTAATATGCCTTTTGGGATTCTTAAGATTTGGATGCACAATATCTCCTTTTTCCTGAGTTTCTAACGGTCATGATTATGAAGCCTAGGCAGAGTGTTTAACAATTCTAAATTGTCATTAAAAGGTCGTAGCTTTAAATGAATGCTTATGTGCTTAAAACAGCTGTTGGCATTTTTAATATAGTAGTTTTGTATCTGATCCTATTATGCTATATAGTATCTTGGTATTATGAGAAAATGACTTCTACATTCTGTCCTCTTACACTTTTTCTTTCAGTTGTCAAAATGTCACCATTATTGCTGGGATTCCAAGAAATCTCTACAAATGCCTCTGATAACATCAGAAACAATTGGTTCTAATCCTGTGAACTCTCTTGTGAAGAAAGCATGTGACTCCTTTGGTTTAGAGGCCATATCTTTCAGGTCATCCAGAGGTGCCCAAGCCACACCAACAGAGAAGATGGTGATACCTACAATGAAAATATTTTTAAGTGAATTAAAGCCATGTTCCAGCTTATATATAAAAGATGTAAATATTTTTTCATGAATTAGTAAATAGTTGTAGCGAAAACTCTCCAGTAATGTCTGAAGAACTAAATCTCCTTCACCAAATGGTTAGGTAGGTTTTAACGTCATTATAATGAGAATGACTAAACCGTTGAATCAAAACAAGAAGCTCTGCCATCAGTATAAATGAGCACATTAACAGATAAATCACATGATCACTGACAAATATTTGGTAAGCTGTTATCTTAAAAAACAAAACACTAAGACACTTAGTGAAATGGAAAACTCCCTGAGATTGGCATGAGAATGGGCTGCTTGCCATCATCACTCCAATTAATAATTTTACTGTAGTCCAAGCCAATGTGACAGCATGAAAGAATGACACAAAATTTGGGATATGTAAATGTTAAGTTTTCTAAGGCTGTCGCATTGCCAGGGATGGCGACCAGCCTCTGTGAATATGAATATTGAAACTTTTCTTGCATTTTGATGTGTATGTTACATTGGCAAACTGACCTGTAGTCAGAAATTTGACCAAAGCACAGATCTGGTGATAAAAACAGCCAAAAGAGCGAGGTCTGGGAACTGGAATAATTTCTTCTAGTTAGGCATTGAGGCATAACCTCTGCATTCCCTTGTACTACTAGAAGGCTTTTACTCTGACCACATTTTGGCTAGGGTGATTACTACATTAGTTTGATTCACCTCAATCCCAAGTGCAGTATTTGTTCACCATCTTTCTTTTGGGTGAAATTCCCTATAATATTTTGAGAGTTTTTGAAAAATCGGCTATTCTATCAAAGACTTATCCCCCTTCTAGTATTCAGTACTAAGAGTTGTGAATACTTAACATACAAATAGATCAGGTTTAGTATATGTAAAAGCTCCTTGAAACTATTTATTACCCCTGGTTAATACTCCTCTGGCAAAAAAAAAAAAGTAAAAAAAAAAAATTCTCCCCTCAAGTTTCCTCACTTGTAGATTAAATTCAAGCTCAAATTGGTTAGCTTGGACCCAATGTATAATTACAGCTTGAAAAAAAAAGTTATGACCTAGCCCTGACGGTCTACCCTGTATTCTGGGTTTTGTTAACTTTGTAACGTTGACTTCACTATCACTAAAGGATAATTTTTATGAAAATGGTTTGGCCAACCACCTGACGTTCAACTAATTACATAGGGAAAATATATTTCAATTAATCCACTTCACTTAATTTAGCCTGAATCCAAGCCTATTAACCATAAGTTATTTCAGTAAGCTACATTTTTAAACATTTATGAGAGAGTGCATGCACGCACGTGCGCAAGTCTGGAGAAGGACAGGGAGAGAAACCCTCAAGCAGACTCCCCATGGAATGCCAAGCTCAATGTGGGGCTTGATCCCACAACTGTGAGATCATGACCCGACACGAAAGCAGGAGTTGCAAGCTCAGTAGACTGAGCCACCCAGGTGCCCCTGTAAGCTACGTTTTTAAGGAGTATGATAGCAAACGTGACTTTTGATCTGGGTTAGATGTATAATGTACATGATGTATAAAATAAGCCAGATATATAAAAATAAACCAATGTATAGGTTAAATTCCATGGATCAGTTCTCTACCCACTAAAAAACAGTATATTCCATCAATATATGAGTACATTAATGTGCTAATATATCAAAGGAAAAAGATTATTAGAAGTTAAATAGGGAAAAGGATGTATGTAAGACTATAGAAAAATGCAAGCCTGCTAATTCCCCTCTCTCAAGTTAGCGTTTTTGTTTTTTAAGTATTATTGGACTGCAATCACTCAGTTTTATCCCAGGAAAGGAGATGCCAGCGTTTTGTTGCCCTATTTGATCTCAGCAACACATTATGCTAATGTTTTCAGGAATGAGGGGCCTTTGCCAAGTAATATTAAGGTTGGGGTTAAGGGAGAAAGAAGGCCTTTTCATACCCTTTTACAACATCAGAGTGTGTTTTTATTATCTCAAGAAGAAAAAGACAGTAAAAAGGAAGTTTAGATGGAATAGAATTAAAGTCTACTGCTGACCTTATCTTAGAAAACTCAGGCCAGACTCAAAACTACTACTAAAAAAAAAAAAAAAAAAGATAAAACATCAAATGGATTCATGGTAAATTATAAACGGTGATTTTGCAGGCATATATTCCAAGTTTGAGCCAAACATAAGCCCCTGTAACGTGTTTCCTTGACATGGTTCTCCTGGGCATTCTCCCAACAATACAGAGCTTAGGAGTATGGACTCAGCCCACTGCCTGGGTTTGAATATTGGCCTCACCACTTGCTAGCTGTGCGGTTTCGAGGAAATTTTTTTCCTTATCCGTAGAATGAGATTCATCTGGCTGGTTTGACAGTTAAATCAGTTAATACTGGGTAAAGCTCTTAGAGCAGTGACTGCCATAATGTAGGTGTTTGTTGAATAAAATAAATGGTTAAGTTTATATTTACAAAATTCACTGAATGCCTCGGGTCCCCACCCAGAAGAAGGAAAAGAACCTTACCTGCATCGTGTGCAGCAGCAGCAGGGCCTCGAACATCATCATAGGACTGGCCATCTGTGACAATTACCAGGAAGTTCTTGTTGGGGCTGTCCCTCACAGGACCAAAGACATTCCTAACAGTGAAGGAGATGGCTTCACCTGTAGCTGTCCCACCACTCATGTAGCGAATGTTTCTGATAACAGCTAGGATATTCTCTTTGGTGCTATAATCAGTGAAACTGAACTCTGTGCGCTGATCATAGGTGAACTGTACAGCAGCTATTTTGGCACCAATGTCTGAGATTTCAAAAGTCTTGGCTATGTTGGAAACAAACTCAAGCATGAGGCGAAAATTACTGTCTCCAACACTGCTGGAGCCATCAATTAGAAAGGCAATGTTCACTGAGTTGTAACAGGTCTTGCTGCACATCATTTGTTCATGAGTGCAGAGCTTCTGTACCAGAGGCTTTACATATTTCGTGGTGCCAAACCAGTTAGGCATGTGGTAAGAAAAGAAGCCATTATTCCGACAGACCGCCTAAATGAGGGAGACATAAAAGGGATCCAAAGTTGTTTCTTAAAAATTATGGAAACATTAAAACAGTTGTAAAAAACATTGTCTTGACCATTCAAAGTTAATTCAGATAAGGGCCAGTCAGCACTGTGGCTCGAGGACCAAAATTAAATCACGACCATAACAGAAGACACCCTCACCTCCGTACCTTGTCAACAAATGCCACATCCTGAACCATGCCCAGTTCTTCAGGTATAGGCTTGGCCACAGAAACTATAAATACATTGACACCGAACTCTCTGGCCACGATGCCGGCTTCCTCAATGTCATCAGAAGGCCAGCCATCGATAAATACCACCACCACTTTGGGGATCCCTTTTCTTACTCCAGTGTCTGCTGTGAAGAATTTCTGGGCAGTATGCTTCAGGGCTTTTCCTAGGTTGGAAAAGAAGCAGACTGGAGCTGCAACACTGCTCAAATGACATTTCTGTTTCCCGGTACCAACTTGATGCCACCAAAGCTCAAGATTTTAACTTACATAGAACTTGTCTATAATCTATAATAGATGGGAAAGTTTAATCATCCACTGGGCTTATTTATTTTGTCTTTACAACCCACGTTACTTCCCCCATCACCTCCCAAAACCTCATGTTTCCTTACTGTACATCAGTCACCAGTCAGAAACAAAACTGACTCCACTCTCGTAATTCTGCTCTCTAGCCCCTTACTGACTAGTACCACTAAAGACTGAGAACAAGAAATGTTCCTTCAAACTGTCTGTAGTGCTACTCCAGTTCTTTCTGCCCCATCTCCACTTGTTAAATCATCTGCTGATCTTTGCTTCTTTTTAACACACTGAACAGTGGCTACCTGTCCTATCCAATATAAGAATAATAAAGCACAAAACTTTTGTGTTTTATTTACTTATTTTTAAAATTTATTTGACAGAGAGAGAGGGAGAGAGAGATCATGAGCAGGCAGTGAGGCAGGCAGAGAGAAAGGGGGAAGCAGGGTCCCCACAGAGCAGAGAGCCCGATGCGGGGCTCGATCCCAGGACCCTGGGATCATGACCCAAGCCGGAGACAGAGGCTTAACCCACTGAGCCACCCAGGTGCCCCCTTTTTTGTGTTTTAAACAAGCAATATTACTTAGTCCTTTGGCATATTTTCCATTACAAATTGAGTATCTTAGATGATCAAGTACAAACCTAGCCAAGATTTCAGTGTCAAGAGGAAAAGTTTCACATCTGCTTCTATAAAACAGCCTAAAACCATTTTACATGTCCAACCACTCATAAACCTCTCTTGTGTTGCATCCCAGGTGCCAAAGTCTACTTACCTGTATTGGAATTACCCCCTCTGAAACCTACTTCCTTTATGGCAAACAAAACATCTTTGGCTGATGTAAAGTTTTTCAAGTAAAATTCTATTTTGGGATGTTCACTAAGTGGAAAAAATGAAAAAAAAATGTTATCTAGGGAAAACTGGGAAGGTAAAACAAGCAATATTATATACCTTAAAAAAGGTCTTTAAATTGGACAATGCCTAAGTCTTGCTCAATCCCATAATATATAGTCAGTTAAGGAACTGCATCCTTACTTGACTTTTAAGGCATCTTGCAGAATTGTAACAAAAACCATTGCTACCTTGAGGGTTTATTTTATTCTGGGTAATAGGCTATATACATGTAACATGTATCAGCTCATTTCATCATAACTCTACAAGGTAGAAACGATTATCCCTATTATATAAATGATGAAACTGAGGCTCAGAACATTTAGGTAACTTGCCCAACAAAACACAGCTGCACTTGAAATTCAGGTTTGTCTGGCACTAGAGTTCATGCCTAATCTATATGGTGACCCTGAAACCAGGCCTGGCTCAGAGCACTGGACTTAATGGAAATCTGCAGAGTTGGGCAGCACAGAGTTGGAAGGTGGCTGGGTGTGAGGTTTGGTCTGTTCCAGTGGGAGAGCCTGGAAGCACTTAACAGAGTGGGTCCATTAAATACTCCAGTTTTTCGTCAGAAGAGGCAATTTCAAGGACACTGGGACCAACATTTTTAAAATGAGAAGGTATAAGAAAAAAATGTGAAGGATTACAATATGGAATTTTTGTTATAATAAATGATATTGACATTACCAATCTTAATGTATATTATAGGATTTGGGATTTTCCATATTTAATAGTAGATGGATTTCAGCTCACTTTTTTTTTTTAAAAGATTTTATTTATTTATTTGACAGACAGAGATCACAAGTAGGCGGAGAGGCCGGCAGAGAGAGAAAGAGGAAGAAACAGGCTCCCTGCCAAGCAGAGAGCCAGATGTGGGACTTGATCCCACGACCCTGAGATCACGACCTGAGCCGAAGGCAGAGGCTTAACCCACTGAGCCACAGGCGCCTCAGCTCACTTTTTTCTCAGTTTTTTTTTTTTTTCATTTTTTCAGCTCACTTTTTTACCACTACTCTGTGTTCATTAGAGACCATGGTGAATAAAAACAGTTAAAAGCACCATTTTTTATGTTTAGTTTTTGGGTAAGTCAGTATTTAAGTATAAAATTTTACGTTCTTAGTATTATCAATCGTCATTAAGTCAAGAGTTTTGAGACATAACAATAGCACTGGTTGTATTTCTGTGTATCTGGTGAAATACTGGGTCACAAAATCAGATACTATGGGTTGATAACATTTTCATTTCATTTTATTTTTTTTTAAAGATTTTGTTTATTTATTTGACAGAGAGAGAGATCACAAGTAGACAGAGAGGCAGGCAGAGAGAGAGGTGGAAGCAGGCTCCCTGCTGAGCAGAGAGCCTGATGCGGGGCTCGATCCCAGGACCCTGAGATCATGACCTGAGCCGAAGGCAGAGGCTTAACCCACTGAGCCACCCACGCGCCCCAATAACATTTTCATTTTAATGGTCACTTTTCAAATATCCAAATTGTGATTTATGAGATTTAGTCTTGTTTTTGCATCCTTAATGATATATTCTACTATTTTGCTTAAATATAAACTCTTGACATGGTTTATTCTGCTGTTCTTCCTAAAGCAGAAAAACTATTAGCCAAGGAGCTTACAGAGAAGCTAATTCTTTGTTTGAGTCTAAAGATAGTGTAGCTTTCATCTTGAAAAAGATTTGGATAGAAATCGCAAAGAAAAAAATTAAGAAGAAAAGTACTGAGGAGAATTTCCCCCCTGCGATGTTAAAGGGTACAATAAAGCTACAATAATCAAAGCATTGTGGAAAAGATGTGGAATTAGCTTATAGATCAAGGAAACTGACTTGCCTAAACTTGTATATAAAATTGATATTTCAAATCAATGGAATAAGAAGCTCATTTGTTTAAAGGCATGGGACAAATGGTTAAATTATGTAGAAAACAAAGTTAAATTCTCATACCAAAAAAAAAAAAAAAACCTATCTAAATTAAGAACCAGTTGTAAAAAAAAAATAACATAAGAATGAAATAGAAATTATTATTCGTAGTACTGGTGCTAACTTCTTACCCACTACTGATAGTGGTTTAAACTGGATCAACTTTCTAGAAAGCAATTTAACTTTGTACCAGAAGCCTTAAAAATGTCAGAACTCTTTGACCCAATTTCACTTTCAGGAATCTAGTCTACTGAAGTAATCAAGGATGGCACAGGATAACATAAGGTTGTTAATGATAATGTAATGTGTAACAGTGAAAATGGTTAAACAAGTAATTATGCAAAGGAACCCTACAAAACTTTTTTTTCCTTTTGAGAGTGAGTGTGTGAGTGGGGGTAGGTGGATGGAGGAGGGGGCAGAGGGAGAGAATCTTAAGCAGACTCCACAGCCAGCACAGAGCCCACACAGGGCTGGATCTCACAATCCTGAGATCATGACCTGAGCCAAAATTGAGTATCAGATGGTTAACCAACTGAGCCACCCAGGCATCCCAAAACATTTTTTGGAGAGTAGTTGTGATCTGGTAAAATGCTTAAAATATTAAGGGATGAAAAAACAGGACATAAGACCTTTTTATAGTTGGAGCTTTTGAAAAAGCAACATGCACATGTAGGAGTGGAGGGGGGTAGGCAAAATGGGTGAAGAGTGGGAGCTGCAGGCTTCCAGTTATGAAGTGAGTACGTCAAGAGAATAAAAGCTACAGCACAAGGAATGTAGTCAGTGGCATTCTAATAGCAGCCTACGGAGACAGATGGTAGCTACACTCACAGTAAGCACAGTGTAACATAAAAGATGTTGTACCACTATGTTGCACACCTGAAACTAATGTTAACACTGTGTGTCAACTATACTTCAGTTACACACACACGCGCGCACGTATAAACAAATGTTCTTAAGATACTGAAAGGTGGGCACCTGGGTGGCTCACTCAGTTAAGCGTTTGCCTTTGAATGACTACCCAACTTTCGTATCAACATGAACGCGAAGAGATTATGCTGAGTGAAATAAGTCAAGCAGAGAGAGTCAATTATCATATGGTTTCACTTACTTGTGGAGAATACCAAGTAACATGGAGGACAAGGGGAGATGGAGAGGAGAAGGGAGTTGGGGGAAATTGGAAGGGGAGGTGAACCGTGAGAGACTGTGGACTCTGAAAAACAACCTGAGGGTTTTGGACGGGTGGGGGGTGGGAGGTTGGGTGAGCCTGGTGGTGGGTATTATGGAGGGCACGTATTGCATGGAGCACTGGATGTGGTGCATAAACAATGAAATCTGTTACACTGAAAAGAAATTAAATAAAAACAAACAAACAAAATTAAAAAAAAAAAAAAGTTTGCCTTTGGCTTTGGTCATGGTTCCTGGGATGGATCTTTGCTCAGTGGGGAATCTGCTTCTCCTTCTCCCTCTGCCATCCCCTCAGCTCACGTTCTCTCTAATAAATAAAATATTTAAAAAAAAATAAAGGATACAAAACATTTTATGGTGATTATCTCTGAGGGGCATATTTGGGAAATTGGTTTTCTTTGTGCTTTATATGTTTTTGAAGCTTTCTCTAGTGACCATATTATAATCCTAAAAGCCATAGATCTTATTTTTAAATGAGCAAAACTAAAAAGATGGAGTTCAGATCTCCAAGGAACTATGGAAAATGTTTAAAAGAATGACAGAGTAGGGAGGAAGAATAAACCTATCACTTCTTCCTCCAGCAAAGAGGAACTGGGAATTGAGCAGAGCATATGTGCAGACGTAATTCGTATGAGAAACAAAACCCTTTAGTTTACCTTCTGGTCCTCAAATAGAATATGATTCTCAATTTTTAATTCCAAAAAGGAAGCACTTAGACCTACCTAGTCTGCTTAGCAGTCCTAAATCCTGTATTTACAGTTTGGAAATCAGATTGTCTACAACTCAATATGTTTACATTGAGCCAAAATGCATGTATCCATTAAAAGGATTCATCTTTTATCATCAAATCTCCACATTTTAACAAGATTGGTACCTGGCTTGAACAAGGCCCACGTGTGGTCCCTCTGTTCCAATTCCCAACATTAGAGCCACTTTGCCAACAAAATTCTTCTGTAGATTAAATCGGCGCTGCCCAATATTAAAACTTCCATCAATCAGAAATGCAATGTCTGCTTTACAGTCTGTGAATACCCAAACAAGTCTTTCTGTTAGCAGTTTCAAGAGGAGGGATGGAGGGAGGAAGGGACAGTGAATGTTACTTTCCCAAACGGTTATCTGGACTCTTACCTTTATTGCCAGTTTTCTTCTCAGGTGTTTTCTTTAGTCGTTTCCCTGAAACAAAGGAAGCACTTGGCATTAGTAAAAAGAAGACATTTTCATATCAAGAAGCCCACATGGGGAAAAGCTCCTAACAAGAAGTGCCAATCTCAAAAATACTTGTTTTTAAAAAATAAATTTCCTTAAAAAATTAATTTTCTCATGGTTTTCTGGACTGGGAAAACAATGCCCCAGCAAAGAAACAAGTCAGAACTGTTGTAGGCCTATTTATTAATATGCCGCTAATTCAGGAATTGATCTCTCAAATCTACAGTGGAGGCAGGACTGGAAACTCAAGAGCTAGATTCTAATGTTCTTAATTTCTTCGATTTTAGAACTGCCACAGTCTTGGGGTGCCTGGATTGCTAGTCAGTTAAGCGTCTGCCTTTGGCTCGGGTCATGATCTTGGGGTCCTGGGATCGAGTCCCACTTCAGGTTCCCTGCTAAGTGGGGAACCTACTTCTCCCTCTGTCTCTCCCCCAACTTGTGCACTCTCTCTCTCTCACTCTCTTTCTCAAATAAATAAAACCTTCAAAAAAAAAAACAAAAAACAAAAAACAACTGCCAAAGTCTGAAGAAATGATATCCCTGGCTGTTTGTTAAAAATTGGACCTACACTAATTCCTTTTTGCATGTGGCAAATGGAACTAGGAAGTTCATAGTACTTTTACTTTGTCCAGTTTCTAGGCATGGGTTTATCAAATCAGAAATAGTAGGACTTTAAGAGAACGTTTGGTAGCAGACTTTGTAATTGAAAATAGAAGGATAGGGGCGCCTGGGTGGCTCAGTGGGTTAAGGCCTCTGCCTTCGGCTTGGGTCATGATCCCAGGGTCCTGGGATCGAGCCCCACATCGGGCTCTCTGCTCAGCAGGGAGCCTGCTTCCTCTTCTCTCTCTGCCTGCCTCTCTGGCTACTTGTGATCTCTGTCTGTCAAATAAATAAAATATGTAAAAAAAAAACCTCTTAAAAAAAAAAGAAAATAGAAGTTTAGGAATTTGAAATAGCAAATTAAATGTTTCTTTATGTAACATACCAGTAAACATATATTTTTTTTAAATTTATCTATTTGAGGGCACCTGGGTGGATCTGTCAGTTATAC